CAGGAGACAGGTGTGAGTCAGAGGGCTGAATTTGACTAGTTTCTGTCGGGACCGAGCTGCTCTGCTCCTCTTCATCACTGGTTAATTTGGTTGGTCGGTTTGACCTTGATGACCTTGATGACCTTTTGGTCCTTTAGGTCGTCAAGGTTTTGTTTTTTTCACCTTGACGACGCTCCCTGAGAACATGGTCTGACAGGAAACTGGTCTGTGACCTCTGGTCTGTGACCTCTGGTCTGTGACTTCTGGTCTACGACCACACGGGCCATGACAAGACCTTAGCAGTTAAAGAGTGAGTGGAGGGGGGGTTGGGTGGGGGGACGGGGGGGTCAGTCCTCACCAAGGGTGGGGTTGCCTAAACCTCCGAAGGCACTGGTTGATAGGCTGCCAAGACTGCCAAAAGAGGTGGAGCGACCGAACGGATCTGCAAAACGCCAAACATTAAGATTAGTGCAGTGGACACGGGCGGAGCCGAGCACCAGCAAAGTCTACTCAACGCTGCCGCCGTGGCACTGACCACGGTACTGCAGCCAAAGGTCAAAAATTGTTCTCTGTCAGTAGGGGGCGTGTCTGCTGAGGTGGGAAAGAGAACTAGCTCTGAGACGCTGCAGTTAAAGGTGGAGTTAAAGGTGGAGTTACAGTGGTGTTACAGTGAAGTAAATAGTGGTGTTACAGTGGTGTTAAAATTGTGTTACAGTGGAGTTACGGTGGTGTTACAGTGGTGTTACAGTGGAGTTACGGTGGTGTTAAAGTGGAGTTACAGTGGTGTTACAGTGGTGTTGTGGTGTTAAAGTGGAGTTAAAGTGGTGTTACAGTGGAGTTACAGTGGTAAAGGGTGGTGTTACAGTAGAACAGTGGTGTTACAGTGGAGTTAAGAGTTAAGAGAAAAGAAAAATGTTGAACAAAGTTTTTACTTACACTTACCTGCCAAATGGCTGGGGGGCAGGAAGCTGCTGGGATGAGGGGCAGGGCCGTAGGAGGGGGGCACCGGGTGGCCTGAGCCTATCAGGGAGGAGAACATGGAGTGAGTTGTGTGGTTACTTTGACAGAATTAAAAAAAAAACGTTGGACAGAAGAAACATTTTATCTATTAGAAATAGCATGTTTACAATGAGTCAACAAACTAAGGCCCGGGGGCCGAATGCTGCCATTTTAATAATCCGGCGCACCAAACTTTGCACAAGTCAAAACGTTTGGCCACACCTGCGTTAGCACAATGAACAGCTAAAAGAAGCTAACAAAAACAACAGCTAACAAGAAGCTAACAAAACGAACAGCTAACAGAAGCTAACACAAAGAACAGCTAACAGAAGCTATCAAAAAGAACAGCTAACAGAAGCTAACACAAAGAACAGCTAACAGAAGCTAACACAAAGAACAGCTAACAGAAGCTAACACAAACAACAGCTAACAAGAAGCTAACAAAAAGAACAGCTAATGGAAGCTAACACAAAGAAGAGCTAACACAAGCTAACACAAAGAACAGCTAACAGAAGTTAACAAAAAGAACAGCTCACAAAAGCCAACAAAAAGAACAGCTAACAAAAGCTAACACAGAGAACGGCTAACAGAAGCTAACAAAAAGAACAGCTAACAGAAGCTAACACAAAGAAGAGCTAAAAGAAGCTAACACAGAGAACGGCTAACAGAAGCTAACAAAAAGAACAGCTAACAGAAGCTAACACAAAGAACAGCTAACAGAAGCTAACAGAAGCTAAAACAAAGAACAGCTAACAGAAGCTAACAGACGCTAGCACAACCACCGACCTGTGGTTGAAAACAGGGGTCTCGCCAGGTCGTGAGAGTACGGGAGTCCAGGGAAGACTCCTGGAACTGGAGGTCGACTGAACAGGTCCAGCTTTGAACTCATGTCCAGTTTGTGAGGATCCAGCTGCATCTGCTGTAGCCAAGGGGGGAGAGGGAGAAGGGGGGAGCAGGGGGAAGAGCTTGATCAGTACTGGATCAGTACGCAGCAGTACTTACACCGACAACAACCGAAGGTCAAAGGTCACACCGACCTTCATCTTCTGCTGGTGGTGGTAGATCTGCCACGCGATCTGGACGTGAACTGCACACCACTTCCCAGGTTTCTACACATTTGGACAGAAGTGGGTTAGGCTGCTGACCTCGCAGGTCAAAAGTAATGACGGCAGCGGTCAGTGTCTCTAGGGTTCTAGACCCGGCCTGACTCTGACTCACCCTCACTGATGTTCTGAACGGATCCGTCACCTGCACAGACAGAAACGTCACGTTTATATTTGTTTGAATGACACCTGGTATAGAGGTCAGAGGTCACGGTTGATGGAGGGCGGGAGGGAGGAGCGTGGGTGAGAAAATAACAGATCTCACCCTGGGATCTTTCTGTAGAAGAGTGTGAGGAACGGCTCCCGGACGAGTCGCCACGTCATTAGGGTTCGATGCCTGATGATGAGAGACGGGGGAGGGAGGGGGGGCAGGGAGATAGGGGAGAGACAGAGGGGGAGGGAGGGAGACAGAGAGATGGGGAGAGACAGAGAATCAGAGAATATCATTAAGACTCGAACAGATTTAAAGGAAAAGAAAATACAAGTTGTACTCCACTCAAAATACAATTAGCTATATAACAAGACATATATATTTCTAATATATATATATATAAAGATGCATACATACAGTAAATACATATACATATACATATATTTATAATTATAAATATACACATATATTTATACATATACATACATATATACACACACTGGTGCTTTTACCATTCTCACTGGGATCACTATGAACACCAATAGGAACACATATATGTCCATCTATCATATATGTCTGTTTGTCATATATGTCCGTCTGTCATATATGTTCGTCTGTCATATATGTCTGTCATGTATATCTGTCATATATGTCCGTCCATGATATGTCTGTGATGTCAGTCTGTCATAAATGTTTGTCATATATGTCCGTCTGTCATATATGTCTGTCATGTTTGTCATATGTCTGTCTGTCATATATGTCCGTCTGTCATATATGTCGGTCTGTCATATGTGTGTCATATATGTCTGTCTGTCATATATGTTTGTCATTTGTTTGTCATATATATGTCTGTCATATATGTCCGTCTGTCATATATGTTCGTCTGTCATATATGTCTGTCATATATGTCTTACTGTCATATATGTTTGTCTGTCATATGTTTGTCATATATGTCTGTCATATATGTCCGTCTGTCATATATGTCTGTCATATATGTCTGTCTAATATATTTGCAGACCTGACGTCCGACCATTAACTTTTTCTGTGTTCTAGTTCGTCAACGTTCTAGTCGCGGTTCTTTCTTTAACGTGGATCATGGTCCGAGGTCTAGAACGCGGGCCTGACCTTGGGCTGGAAGGCTCCTTGCAGTGAACTGAAGGGTCCTGAATGTGGGAGCAGCGGTGGCATGCCGGGCATGGTGGGTGGATAGGAGGGGAAGAACTGGTGGAGTGGGGTGAGGGTGGGGGAGGTAAGAGGGGGACACACACAAAGAAACAGATGAAAAAAATTATACAGACATGCAGTACAGTGGAACAGTGTTAGGCCCGGGGGTGTGTACATTTACCCCCAGCTCCCCTTCCCCCCGTCTCCCCCGGGGTGTATTTAAAGTACCAGAACCAGAAGTTCCCTCGGCCGATTGTCGTTTAGATTTTAGTTGCGATTTCAAGCTGTCAGCAGGGGGCCCCAACTGTCAGCGGGTGCGTCACCCCTCCGGTCCGGGCCCCTTATGTTTGAACTTTTAACTCAACGGGTGAGTGAATTCCTGGTTCTCTACGTTAGCTTTGAACGTTTCTGAAATGTACACACCTGCCTAAAACTTTTGCACCGCACTTGAATAAAGATATAATTGATAAAAAATAGAAAAAATAAATAAATTAGAAACTCACGTTCGAATGTCGGAAGAACGGATTGTCCATTTTGGGGGTGTATTTGTCAAACTGGAAGAAGGAAGGGGGAGAAGGGGTGAGGGGGAGAGAGAGAGAGAGGGTTAGTCCAGTCTTTTAACACGGACTTGATATAAAATGTCTTCCCATCGTCGTGAAAACACCAGGACCATCGACATCTGTCGATGGTAAACACAGCTGGTCCGGACCGGTCCTGGTTGGTGTAGACTGAGTACAGTCAGACAGGAAGTTGGATCACTAAGACTCCATTCAGTGGCTAGGACGAAGGCGGTCTACGTT